ATTTGGTACAGCATTATAATAAATTAATAATAGTTTTACATCTAAAAATCATATTTTATTATTTTAATCTATTTTCCTCATTCAGCAACCTATTCAATTTCTGTTATGTTTCATGTAGGAGAAATACACATTTTTTTCAGTCAGTATTTAATACAGCTGGCAAAATAAATTGTTAAAATATGTATTATGTGCTTCTGTTTTTTAATTCAGGAGATTATTTTAAAAAATCCTTCATTTTATGGGAAGACCCTCTTGATTCAAGAGAAAACTCAGGTTTTTTAAAAAAATGGCTGCTTATTAATTAATTGTTAATTAATCTATAAGATAAATCAACTTCAGATTAATTCATTTAAGGAGTTAAAAATGACTGAAACTTCGTTGTCTTTTCAGATTTTAAGCTAAATTTGGATGAATTAGCAGCTGACAGGCATCCTCAACACATACTCAGGAATTAAGGAACTACACAGGTTTTTATGTAAAGAGGAGTATACTGTGTACATGCCCTTAGTCAAAATACTCAGTAGTGTTCTCTAGTGATGTTTTCAAGTTGTAAGAAGACTTGAATATTTGTACTATTCAGATCCTCAAGACCAGCAATATTTGTAAGGAACAGGGTACCTTTGACCAGTTTTCTGTCATTTGACTGTTTTTAACTTACTCAATAAAACACTTTTTGCAAGGCGTGAGTTATACATATTAGTTAAACAAATACTCAATCATTTCTGTAATTTTTCTATGTATGTTATTAACTGAACTTTGAAGAAACATTAAAAAACACAGTGTAACAAAATAACTTAAAATTGCAATTTTTTTGTTTACCAGACTGACATACAGTATTTCTCTCTTAAAATGAATATTTCATATAAAGAGACAATATGACTACATGATTTCAGTTCATGTAGACATTGATATTATTTATTGAATTACATTTATCACTTAATGTTTGTATGGTTACAATACGGTTCTAAATGAGACCTATAAGATTGCTAGTTCCTGATTAAAGTACCTTCTTTTAAACTACCTGGGGGTTCTATTGTTCTACGTACAATCATTTTTTGTTGCATTTTATTTACAGCTTGCATGAAAGTAATCACTGTGTTTACGGGGGCGGCTGTGGCAGAGTGGTTAGAGGTGTCATTCTGCCGTCTCAGTCGCTGTATTCCCACTGATGGTGGTCAGAGGGCCTGGTGGTGCTGGTGCATGGCAGCCCCACCTCTGTCAGTGTGCCCCAGGGCAGCTGTGGCTACAATGTAGCTTACCATCATCAGTTTGTGAATGGATGAATGATTGAATTGTAAAGCGCTATATAAGTTCAAGCCATTTACCATTTTTATCTGGTTAATGTTATAAGTTGGTATATTTATATGATCATTTTTAAATGAGGATGCGCTCTCAACTGACTAACCTGGATAAATAAAGGTTAAATGCAAAAAATTAAATAAACAAGTGTAAAAACATCCAAACAGTCAAAACATTGTTTTTGCTATATTATGACATGTGTGTACAATAACAATGCACAGAACACATTAACATTTAACACAATATTAGACTTTAGGTAAAGTCCAGGGAGGTTGAGGGTGCGTTGCAGGAGGAGGGGCTGATGGTGCATCAGCTTTGATGCCTCTCCAGCTTCAGCAATCTGGTAACGTGAAAACATCCAGAGACCACTGCTCATTCAGGGGAGGAACGTTAGAACGAATGCTGATTTCATCTGAGGTCTCTTAATAAGTTGGGATCACTGCTCTGTTCAGCTCTGATGGAGTAAAACTACGGTCTGCTCTGCCTTTTTTTTTTTTGTGTGTGAAAGCAGTGTCATTTTTAACTCCTGTATCATAATTAGATCGGATGACTTTAACAAGCCCACAACATAAAACTGTTTTTTTTCTCTTCTCATTTGCAAATGATGGAAAGCCGTCCTGGCAACAGTTAAAATGATGGAAATTTGTTGCAGCAACAGAAGATTTTATTTTCTGCATACTCTTAGTGCCAAGACATCTTGTTAAATCACACAATACTCCACAAGATTAAGTATAATGTCATTTACAAGGTTTGACCAAAGCAGCTAACTTTGTTTCTTCTCATCATAAGATCCTTTTATATTAAAACTCTGGCATAAAAGGCAGCCGGTGATTTGCATTCCTTTCAAAGAATGAATTAAACCTTTTTTTATTGAAGTTTATACTTTACTAATGAACATTTTTCCATCTTTTTTCCTTCCTAGAACAGAAAAAGTTGGTCTGTCCTGTTTTGACTTATAGCAACATCTCACCCTGTTGATATCTGAAACCAGCGCTCCCTCTTTAGGGGTGTAAACCCTTTGATTGTTGGCCCTCATTCGACTCTGGATGGTGAAAAGCAGCACCTCCAGATTTCCTTTCTCCTGAAACCTAAGGAGGGGGAAAAAAACACATTTAGGCCATGAGGGTCTCCACTGAGACCAGTTACTGTGAAGACACAGCTTGTGTCTGGAATGGAAATCAACAACACCAAGCACAAAACACATCAAAAGATTAACAGTAAATATCAGAGAAACTGTATTTTCAGTGAAAACAGTGTTAATGATGAAGCTAAAATAAAACAAGCAGAACACTAGTAATAAGTAACAAATGTTTAGCTAAAAGGCTGAATGTTACCTAGAAGATCAAAGTGGTCAAACAGCTAAAAGCAGCAAAAGACTAAAATAAAAAAACAACATAGTAAACAAAACTAAAAGAGCCATATGATGACAAATATTGAACAAGTTTGTTAAAGCAGATTTAAAGGAAAATATTTTTAAAGGAACTGAAGAGTTCTAATTACATTATATGGTGAAATATTTAGAAATAAAGTTAAATGATTTGAAAAGTATAAAAGTAAAACAAACATCAGGGTCACAGCTCTTATCTCTTGTATGAGTTGAATGAGCTCAATATTTTAATGTAGAAGAAAACCCCAAATCCAGTGAAGTTTAGATGTTGTGTAAAACATAAATAAAAATAGAATACAATGGTTTGTGAATCATTTTTAACTTATATTCAATTATACAGTATACACTACAAAGACAAGATATTTAATTCCCAAACAAATAAACATTATTGTTTATTTGCAAATATTCATTTATTTTGAATTTAATGCATGCAACATGTTCCGACGGGCAACAAAAGACTGGAAAGTTGATGAACGCTCAAAAACACCTGTTTGGAGTATTCCACAGGTGAACAGTTAATTGAAAACAGGTGGGTGTCATGATTGGGTATAATAGGAACATCCTCAAAAGGCTCAGTCGTTCACAAGGAAGGATGTGGTGAAGTTCACCACTTTGTGAACAACTGCATCAGCAAATATCCCAACAGTTTAAGAACAACGTTTCTCAACACACAATTGCAAGGAATTTAGGGATTTCATCATCTAAGTCTATAATATCATCAAAAGATTCAAAGAATCAAGGCCAAAAACCAACACTGAATTCCTGTTTGATCCCTCAAAGAGTTAGCATCAAAAACTGACATCATTCTAACAGATATTACCACATGAACTCAGGAACACTTCAGAAAACCAGTGTCAGTGAACACAGTTCATCACCACATCAACAGCTGTTAAAACTGTACCATGCAAAGCCAAAGTCAGATATCAACAACACCCAGAAACACCACTGGCTTCTCTGGGCCTGAGCTCATCTGAGACGGACTGATGCAAAGTGGAAAAGTGTCCTGTGGTCTGACGAGTCCACATTTTAAATTGTTTTGGGAAATCATGGACGTTGTGTCTTCCAGGACAAAAAGGAAAAGGACAGTCTGGATTATTATTAATGCAAAGTTCAAAAGCCAGTGAAGTGAAAATAACCACGTCTTCTGGTTGAAGTGGAACTGCTGTTGCTCAGTGAAGAGAGAACTCTGAAACAGGCTGGTTGAACAGCAAGAATCTTTATTTTGCAGTCCAGGAGATTACAGCCAAAAAACCGAATTGTGGCCTTCAAACCAGATTCACCAAGTAAGGAAGATGAAGAACAAAGGCGAAGAGCAGGGGCGTACAAGGCTTCTTTATAGGCTTCACAGATGTACCATAAGTTTTGTCACGGTATGCCTTCTTCCTAATACAGTATGGTAATATGTGCCGAGCTCTGAAGCTGGAAAAACCAAGAGACATCAGATCTGTGCACTCCTGAGAAGAGGCCTCCCACTCTTGGACACTACACCAGCATCTCTGATGGTGTGGGGGTGCATGTGTAGCCTGCACATCTGTGAAAAGTACATACAGACTTTGGAGCAACATACGCTGCCATCTACTGATGTCTTTTTCAGGGACGGCCCTGCTTCTTTCAGCTAGACAATGCCAAGCCACATTCTGCACGGCGTGTCTTTGTAGGAAAAGATTGTGAGTACTAGACTGTCCAGCCTGCAGTCCAGACCTGTCTCCCACTGAAAATGTGTGCTGCATTATGGAAGCTGTACATCAATCAAGAATATAAAATAATTCCACCTACAAAGTTTTTAGTGTCATCAGTTCCCAAACACTTACAGTATTAGATGTTGTTAAAAAAAGGGTGATGTAACACAGCGGTAAACATGACCCTGACCCAGCTTTTTTTGGAACGTGTTGCAGGCATCAAATTCAAAAGAAGTGAATATTTGCAAAAACATAAAGTTTATCCATTTAAACATTAAATATCTTGTTTCTGTACTGTATTCAGTTGAATATAGGTTGAAAAGGATTTGCAAATTATTGTCTTCTGTTTTTATTTATGTTTCACACAACGTCCCAAATTCAACACCCCCCACCCCAAAAATAAATAAATAAATAAATAAATAAAAAACAGGAAAACACTTGTGTGACTGCTGAATGAGCCTTTATGCAATAATTTTAATGAACTTAATGTAGAAATCCAACAAAAGTTAAACATACAGAATGAATTAGGTATCACTTACTTAGGCGGCTTCTCAACAGTGCGGTATGTGTTAAAGGCCTGAAGCTGCTGCTGGACTCCAGTCAGAGAGTTGGCGAGTTTCCTGTTGTTCAGCACAATGATGGTCTGCTCGATCCACGTCAGCAAGTCTGATGCCAGCGTCTCGTACTTATCAATCATCTTCTCCGTCTCGATAGCTTGATCCAGAACCTGGAGGAGGACAGCACAGATAAACCAGACGAGCGGACTCAACAAACTAACGAGCGCACGGCCAGTTTCCAGCTCACCTTTCCAACTCGCTTTCCCTCGACTGCGAGCTGCTTCATCTTTGAGAAATAGTGATAGAACGCAACGACATATGTGATGATGGATTTCTCATCTGGGTTCTCCGTGAAAACGTCTATAAAACAAAAGGAGTCAGTGACAGCAACCAGAGACACCCTGGTGTTTATTTTCCACTAAGCTTGAATGATCAGAAACATTTAGCTGTAATTCAGTCACTCGCCTTCTGGGTCTAACAGTTTGGTCACACCAAGTTTCTGCTCTGCCACATTAAAGGCATTCTGGAGGTTATGGGTTGGATTGGACCTCTTCAGTTTGTTAAAGTCCACCAGATCTGGCCTAGGGAAGAAAAGGTACGAGAAGAACAGAGACAGTGAGCAGGCAGGTTGTGTTTAGATTTCTGTACTGTTTTTGCCGTTTGTCGTCCCTTACCGGTGTTTGTGTAAGAGAGCATTGAAGGCCATCCCGTCCTTCCAGCTGGTGGTGAAGTTTGTGATGTTGACGTTTGGGTAACTGTGAGATAATAACCATGCGACATTACTAACTTAACACAGGGCTTCTGTTTTAAATCCATGTTCGCTCTGCTCTTGCAGCTGCACACTGTCTTATTGTTTCACTAATACGCATTTTGCTCGATGGATTTTGTAATCATAAAAAAACTGATGATGTAGACTGAAATATGTTTAAATAAGTAAAACTTAAAGTCATTAATTGTAGGAAACAGATGTACACCTGGTTGTACCCACACACATATTAACTCCCGCTGGATATTTACAGCAGCTTGGCGATGCTAAAGATCACACAAAGCACTTACCCTGCAGTTTTCATCTGACACCACAGAAGAAGAGCATCTTTAGCTGAGTGCGTCTCCTTCTGGTCTGCCTGGCCCGTTTCCACGATGATGTCCTGGATCTGATGAAGAAAAAAAAACAAGCACAGCTGGATGTTAAATAATGAAACTTAACTAATGTCTTATCTTTGTCAGGGAGTGTATCACTCCCTGACTGCCCAACAGTCCCTGTGTAAAAACTGTGTAAACATTTTAGATCTAATAAAAACCTCTTAAACGGATCCATGATTAGTTGTAACATTGTACTTCATTTAATAAACATATATTTTAACTGTAAAATAAGTATGTAAAAATACTGTAGGATGTTTATTTTTTTATTTTTTAACTTAAAAGTTTTAAAAATATATTACACGGACGGGGCCATTTTATTTACACACAAAGCATTCTGGGTAAATGATGACGTGGATAGGTCCTTGGTATGAGGCTGCTAGCGAGCTATATCCACCCTGAAG